TTAAAAACACGCTACATAGCCTATATACTTTTGACACTCCTCCCATTCTTGCTTTCTTTTTATCTCAGAAAGACAACAGAGTTAGCATTAGACACTCAAGATTTAGGGCTTACATTTCTTACCTTACAAAGCTTCTGGTAACGGGGAGAAGAAACTGCCATCCTCTGTAAACGATGCAACAACACCACAACTTTCTGCAGAGACGTTCTCACCACAGCCATCATTTTAAGTTTGCCACGCTTCTGAAGACACCTCAGAATTTGCATTATAAATGAAGAGCAACTATCATTTCCTCCCGGTCACTGGACAATGATTTGCCAGCTTTCTGAGCATGCTCTCTTCCAGGACTGCTTTTGCAAGCCACAGGCTTTATGCGTTTCAAAGGCAAAGGAGGTTGATATAGCATAAGTTTCTCTCCCAAAATAACCCCACAAAACAAATGAAAAAAAAAAAAAAAAAAAAAAACCAACCCAAAAGCCACCAGCCTTCACAGATTATTCTAACCAGTGCTGCTCAGCTCTGCTTGTGCAGAGGGTAAATGAAGTTATTGAGCAGCTGAGCCTCTGCCACTGTTCGAGAGTACACTAAATAGCCAGAAAAGGTTATTAATTTAAGCCTGAAAGCTGCAGGAACAAAAAAGGAATTCCTTCAGGAAGACAGCTCCAGTGTACCACAACAGTTGTTCTCCCCTAGTAGCTGCTTTCTATCAGCAAACTAAGCTCTGGTAAAGGATGCTCTCGTTCTCAGACTGAACGCAGCTCTGGCAGAGCTGTAGAGTGAGTGAATAACAGACTGTGTTATAAATCTTGAGAGAGGAGCAGAGGGATACCTGCCCTAATTATATCAGCCCTACGTTAAAGGCTAATAAATCACACCGGCGCTTCTCAAAACTAGATTACCCAATACAAAAGAGAAAACTGCAGGGGGTAAACCTCTCTGTTATGAAAACTCTCTTGAAGCTAATTTAGCCAGAGGCATCTCAAAAGATTCTCACTTGTGCCGGAAAGTAGTAATGCTTTTTGGAAGCCGTTTCCAATTGAAATCTTTTCCTGAATTACTTATTAGGACAAGAAAGAATAGGGTTTTGACAAATTAGAAGCATAGTTGCATCACCACCCCTTTTTGTAGCCACCCTTGAATCCAAAGAGCTAACTTCATTTTGGTGTTTTTCCCATGACAAAGCAGATTTATTTAAGCCATCCAAGGATGGCAGTAGGACATTCAAGAGCATGCCAGTGTTGTGCTACCAGCGACACTCCCAATGCAATACAGCCAACATACCCCTAGGTGTGGCAGTAACTGCAGCATACCCAGAGACAGCTGCTTCTTGTTTCTTCCAAAGGTGCTACCCTGAATGTACTTAAAACTGTATTAGAGGGGTAGCTGTAGCAAAGGTTCAGGGAGACCATTATCAGCACAGTAAGTGGTAGACACCATTACAAGTAATCATTATTTAACATGCGTATTGCCACATGAACAGGTACATACATGTTTCAAGCTCATCAATCAGCATAGTATGGAGGCACCAACTACAGGTAGTATCACAAGTTCTTATGATCCTAGATAATGCATAGCAGAGATGCCAGTGCTTTATACACTGGTTTGCCCCTTCTCAGGCACTCTTCACATCCACTTCAGCTAACACAAACTTTTCATCCTTATTTTTAGAACTGAATCAATGTTTTTACAAGTTCTCAGGTAAACCCCTCTCACCTGCACTCTTGTTCACCTGTCCAGCACCAACAACATTAGTTTAAGGAAATAGAGCCTTCGTTCAACTCCTTATATAGAAATCTTACCACATGTATTGTCCACCTTGCCGGACTCACATTGTTTCCTTATCTCTACCATTCATTCAAATCATTCCAATTCTCCTGGTTTATGTCTACTCTTCTGTCAGGCTACAAGTCTGTTTTGCTAACCTACCAGCTGTAGCCTACCATCATTAGCTGGCATGCTGTTATCAAACATTTTTGAAGAAACCTATGAAGCAGCACAAGTCCAAAAACACTGAGCCATTCAGAAAAGACTTTACAAGAGGTCAAAGCTCTTCTGCGTAAGACAAACCACAGTACACACCAGCCACCTTCTTTCAGTTCTGATTTTTTCCTTCCCAGATAATACACAAGTTTGAACCAAGCAGCAAGGCAAACTAACAGTCCACCGCTGATCATGCTGATTTTAATTCACAATAGAACAAAACTTTCAAATTATTTTGAACACCTTTATATCTGTAGGCACAGGACTTCACACGCAATAGCCTAGCAATACTTCTTACCATTTCCCTGCTCATTTTCTGCATCTTGTTTCACATGAGGTTTTAACCTCTTTCAGCTGGCTGCTAAACACTTTCCAACACAGACTGGAGTGTTTTGGCACTGACCTAAAAGGAAAGCCTTCTGCAACATTTAGATACTGAGAGAATGAATTAAAAAGCCTGATGATATAATTGTGAATTTTCCTCCTTTTCAAAAAGAAAAGATTACCACACTCAAGTTTTGCATTATCTGCCTAATACTGATGATAGCCTCAGATGTCGCAATGGAAGGCAAAACAAGGCTTTGACAGTGCCCAGATCACTGATTCCACTGAAGAATAGCTTCAGCCAAACAAGTTAGCCCCAAAAAATGTAATGGAGGACAGTCCTCCCATGCACACAGACAGATGCCAGCTTAACAGATGATTCTATTTTGAAAATGCTTGACATAGAACAACAACAAAAAAATCATCACGTTTCATCTACATTCAGCACTTTTCACCTAGAATTCATCACACTTTAAACTCATTGTAAGGTTTTACTAAACACACAGGCTTTGGGAGCACAGGCATCTTCACATAGAGCAGAGAAAGTCATAAGCCTTACAGTCTTCTTAAAACCATTTAGGAAAAAAAATACTTCACATATTCAACAAAGCACAAAAAACCCCACGCTTATTTTATACTACTCAATGGGAAGAACAGGAAATTATCTTCGCCAAAACAAATATTTGAAAACAGAAATGTTGATTTTGGAGTGTTTGCCAGTGTCATGACATGAATGTCTTTACCTATACTTAAATATTTAAAGATTGAAAAATGGTATGGGACAAAGTTCAGTTTGGAAGCCATTATGCTATGCCAGTCTTTGACACGCCCTACTTAGCTTTCTTTGGTAGTTCAAAAAAACTCACGATATTATGTAAAGTCATCGGTAAGTGATTATGATTCATGTGCACAGTATGTAGAAGCACACAGCCACAGAAAAAAGATTCTGAACAAGGGGAGGCTGTGCCCAGGCATCTACATCTGCCCTCTTAATGGTTATAAGCAATAGGCATATTCAAGAGATGGTTATAGACCTTCTCCACATAACAGGCAGTCTTGCCCAGAAGTTCTCCCCTCACACGGCACAACTCTAGCAATTTTAACCAGACAAAAGCACAGTGAAGGAGGGCAAACAATCTTCCATGGCCAAGGGACTGCACAGCTGCATAGAGCCAACAAGTAAATTGTGAAACAGCAGCTTCACCTTGGTGTGACAGACTACAGAGAATGCGAGATAACGTAGAAATGTCTACTTAAACACAGCATATATCATTAGCTTTCTGTGGCCCTGTTTTAGTTCCTCCACCTCCACCACAGTAGTGATTTGGGTTTTCTTGCCAATAAAAAGTATAATATTAACTTCCAGGTGTTGTCATTACAGACTAATCTCAGCAATCCATAGTCACATGTCTACAGATGAGTTACTTGACTGACCAGAATCCTATAAACATTAGTGAGTGACATGTCATCCCCAACAGATAGAAGCTTCCACAACATATTGTTCTCTTCCTTATGATTAGATTAAGCAGCTTGCTATCAGATACTTTAAACTGTCTTGTTTAATTTAAATTCAATGTAGATATGTTAAGATCAGCAGCACTACTGAAAGCAGCACTTTTTTTTTCATTATAAACTGTTCAAACCCCATGAACTTAGACCACAGACAACATTATTCCAAACCCAGAATGCAGGATTTAATAAATTATCTAACTGCCCACTTCTGTGCATATCAAAGTAACTGTGCTAAATGAGGCAATCTAATTGAAGGAAAAAAAAAAAAAACAGTATTAAAACATGCAGGAGAAAGATGACATGAACAGCATTCACATCAGGCAAAAAGGACGAAGGAAATTCATATATTACAGAAACACAAAATCCTTTTAGCCAGTGATGCTCAAACTTTTTCTGCCACAGACCTAACAATATTAAGAAACGTCTGTCAGGTCTCCACACCCTTTCCTCCTATTTTCCCACAATATAATATACCTTTGATGCAGACTGAAACCAGTTCATCTCTCTGTCTCCTATCTCCACAAAGAAGATGTGTGTGATATGCAAACACAAGAAGATCCAGATGATGTAGTACTCAGCTAGTCTGTGTTTCTTACGATGAGGAAAAAGGATCTCCCATCTATATTTTAGATAAGCTACAGTGTCCATATATTAAAAAAGACTTATAAATAGCGTCAAGCTAGTCTCCTCAGTTATTTCTTAGGTTTCCAGTCTGTGGCCTGTATAGGAAGGAAGGCCAGCTGGGGAGCTGCTGGGCAGCAGGAGAGGTAGAAGAGATGATCCAAGCATGACAATGTCTTGGATTGCTGGAAAAACAGGAGAAAGGCAGCAGGCAGGGACAGGAGTCAGCATAGCCCAGGAGGGCTTTATTTGGAGGGAAGTAGATTAAATTGTTTGGTTGGACAATCACATGACATGACCTGATTTAGTCAGCTATGCACTTCTTGAATATAGTCATCCTCCAAGAACACTGAAGAGCCCTCAGTGCCAGAGACACATGAAATATGTATTTCAAAACTCAGGAAGTAAAATCTGCTTCCTTCACAAACCTGACTTCTAAAATAGGGTTTTTTGAACACCTTCCAATACACTGCAGGTTTCCCCGCTCTAGTAGACAGAATTCCTTTATCACAGTTGCCATTAAGATAAAGCATAAATAAAAACATAATTATTTAGTTTCTCACCTGCATCTGCTTTCTGAGTTCCCTTATAGAGGCACTGTCCTGAGCAATGTTCTCACGCTGGGATGCATCTGCCAGAACATTAACTGTTGTCTCTGCCTCTTGAAGCCACTTGAGAAAGCTCTCCAGATCCTTGTGTGAGGCCTGTACTGTCTTCAGCTCAATCTCCAAGAAATTCTGCCTATCAACAGCTCTGAAAACAAGAAAAGTGTCAGAATATTCCCCTATAACATACAGCATTACATACATCATAATGGAACTACTGAAACGAAATCTGAAAGTTGTCTCTATTAAGAAACTATACATCCATCACAGCTTGCTTTATCATTATGTATATCACTGTTTCTCTGCTTATTATTTCTATAGCTACAGGCGGATGTTCTGAACTGGTTACGTATGTCACGTATGTTTTAAAAAAGGGATGTGGAAGGAACTAAGTTATTAATTAAAAACCTAGCTTCTCCATTTTGAGTGTTACCATCATGGACTTACACTATCCCACCAAATGGTAGAAGTGTTCTTCCCATACATGAAAAGTGTGCTTTTCTTCATCAACAAAAAACACACAGAGTAGAAACACTGAGGGTCTGGAGGATATTTGCTTCCTCTTCTACAGTGAGCAGAAACACTTCACTAAATTTGTAGGAGTTAAAGTGCTGAGGGATGAAAAGTCAAATAAATACCTGTTTCTCTCTGCTAAAGGGCAAGACTTCTGACACTATCACTCAAACAAACAGAATAATACACTGCCTTCGTAACAGTCAAGCAATGTTCAACATGCTTAAATCTAAAAGAAGATTGGCAGAATATAGTTCCCATTTTCAATCAATCCAAAAGATACCTGGTTGGTACAAACACAACAGTTGTTGCTTGTAAGTGGATTTTTTAAGATGTAAAGAACTCATTTAAAGCCTTTGGATTCAAAAGATTTCCTAGAAAAAAAAACCAGATCACATTCTACTGCATAAGAGAACTGTTTACTTGTCATTGAAATGAAACTCAGATGGGAAACTGTTTTAATCAGCAATTTCAAAAGCTCTGATTAACAATGTTAATTAAAGCATGACAAGCTAAATTTCATCCATTTGAGGCTGTTATTCTGCAGTATCCCTTTTCCCAAAATCAGAACAAAAGAAACAAACTGTCCCACACCAGCTCACTGTACAGAAATCCCTAACAGGCTACTATCTAGAATCCTGCTGCAAAATAAGTAGGAAATTAATTTAATTTAAAAATCAAGCATTAATCATATTGTAAGAATTCAGGGTAACTATTGAATTTCAAGTAAGGCAAGGCCAAAACATTCAGCATTTGATATTTTCCCCATAAACTGAACATTCCCATACATTTCCCAAACATTGAACATGTTTCTTTAGACAGGCCCATCAAGCTTGTGAGTCCTTTGCCTCCTTCTACTTAGGATATCTTTCCTCCTTGCCATGCTGAGCCAACAGCACTACTCAACAGTATTAGGAAATCACTGTGTTTAGAATCACACATTTCAAAAGTAGTTAAAATACTCTTTTTTAGAAAAGAAGCTGCAGGTGTTCAGTACCATTCAGGATGATGCTTCAAAGCAGGTATTCTGGTTTACTAGAACATCTGAAAAGACAGATGCATGGAAAAGCTGTTTTTCCCCAGTTCTGCCAGACTTACATTCCTAAGTATTAGAATAACCAACTGAATTTTCTGGAGACTACTTGCAAAAAGACAGTGTTGCAACTCCTGCTTTCAGGGCTTAGGTATTATGTCACGTGTTAATAATTGCTTTATCCAAAATAAGAATGCGTGAATCATTCCTGACTTCACGCTTGCCCAAGTTTTGGCTGCTGGTAAATGACTAGCAGGACAAGAAGCCTTCATTCTTGCTTCTCACTGGAAGCTCTTGAATGCTTCATCCACTCCTGAGAAAAAATAATAATAAATAGCATGCTAGGGATTACAAACGACTTGGCAGATGTTGCCCAGAAAAGATAACAAGCACCAGCTCGAAAATTAGAGCACACCAAGTAACTACAAGAAAAAAGTAAAGTAAGAGCAGTTGTGAGCTCTGACTTCAAACCCCTCTCCCTCTGCAGGGATTTTCTTCCCTAGTAGGGGGTTAAGGCCAAAGGTGGAAGAACAGAAGTGACAACAGGAAGAACAGACTCGTAATAAAAGTGACCTTCTAAGAAAAAGAAAAGCCCCAAAGGATGAAACACTGGAAGTGACCCAGATCTCCAAGTCTAACTACTGATGTACTTTAGATGGGGATTGAGACAACCTGTACTTTGTAGCTAATAACATTCATTGAAGAATGTCGTCTTCAGCCTAAACTTTTAATTTCTCAGACTTTCTGCTTGGTTTAAATTCAAGAATGAAATCCTATTACAGTCCTACTGCTACCATGCTATTTGAATTAAAGCTCAAAAACATTCCTTTCAGTAAATACATACTCCATCAGCATAAATTAACAGACTTACAAATAATGTTCTAAGACTATAGGTGCTTTTAAAGGGGACCTGCATAGCAGTAGCGAGCTACACTTTTACAAAACAGACTCAAATACTTTCTTTTCTTTCCAGTGAAGGCCACAAATCTAAAATAGAAAATGATGGAGAATTCTGTACTACAGATTAAACTACCCCATGCTATATAAAGATGACTCAAATTTTCAAAGAATTACAACAGCCTCAAAAAAATTCCATGATGTAAAAATTGAATGTAAAGAGAATGCACAAATGCAGCTAATTTCACTTAACGCAGTGATAGTGGAGAAGGTCTAAGCAGATGCTATGAGCAAAGGCATGTCCAAGAAAGAGAAAATTCTAACTCTACGATTTATGTTTTAATGGCACCATTTCAGGTTTCTAATCCACAGACTAATTTTTCCATTTTAAACTAAAATTCTGCAATGCATACAAGGGTGTGATCAAAAGAAAGTCAGAAAATAACATCTGTGACAGTACAAACAGCAACTATAATACATTACTGAGGCAGAAAAACCACACAGAATTACTACAGTTTCACCCTGAAACATAAAACCAGAACATAAATAGCCACCAAGCAAAGCATCCAACTTACACAGTGTCAAGCTGGGAAACTTCAGTCTCTTAATGAAAGTTTTAAAATAAGCTGCTTCAACTTTACAGGTCATAGAATCATAGAATTCTATGGACTTACTCTAACAAGTCCACATCCCTCTTATGTTGTAGACTCCAGAGTTGGACAAAGTACTCCGGGTGTGGTTTCACAAGAGCAGAGTAGAAGGGGAGAATCACCTCCAGGCTTCTTAAGCCCAGAGAAGAGCAGGCTCCAAGGGAGACCTTACAGCAGCCTCTCAGTACCTAAAGGGGGCCCACAAGAAATCTGGAGAGGGACTTTTTACAAGGGCATGTATTGACAGGACAAGGATCAATGGCTTTAAGCTGACAGAGGGTAGATTTAGATATTAGGAAAAAATTATTTCTTATGAAGGTGGTGAGACATTGAAGGTTGCCCAGAGAAGCTGTGGCTGCCCCATCCCTGGAAATCTTAAGGCCAGGCTGGATGGGGCTTTGAGCTTTCCAGTGATCTAGTAGAAGGTGCCCCTGCCCATTGGAGGGGGGTTAGAACTAGATGATCTTTTAAGGTCCCTTCCAACCCTAACTATTATGTGATTCTACAATCCTAGGAAGTTGTCCTCCTCTTACTCACCTAGATATAACACCACCTTTGGAGGCTTTATTACCTAGAATTTTTATTCCCTTAACTGCCATCTCATTACAAAAGCAGTTTTCATATGCACATATATGCACACATACATAGACTTTAGTTGTCATCTCCCCCACTCCCATATACACAGGATCAATTTCCTTTTCTGTCTCTCTAACCACAAAGCATACCATCTTTCAAGCTGTAGGCACTGAGTCAGACACTATTCTAAATGTTAATTGTCTGTCAAATATGATGATGAATTTCTGAAGAGATTAGGCTACCTTGCAGGGAAGAAAGTATTATGCATGGAGAAATACCATATTTTCACCAACACATATTTGCAAATATGTCTTACTACAGGATGAATAGAAAGCATTACGTTTCAATTAGTCTCAGTTCCTATAGCTCAAGTATTTTCTAGATGGGAGTGCTAGAACCATCAGACTCAGGAACCCAAAGTGCAGGCCCATTCAGGGAAAGATTCCATCAGATGAAAAGCCATAATGAATTAATGTGTTGGAAGACCAAGCTGAATACTTACAGCCTTGTGAAAATAAAGTACAGCAACAAACTATAAATACATAAAGCCTACCAACATCAAGAAACAGGAGAGGAACTCTTCAAAGACACTAGAGAATAATAGCCATGAGCAAACCCGAGACACACTTTTTTTTTCCCTTAAAAAAAACCTCACCACATAAAAGCAAAGTCATACCAGAAACCTTCCATGGAGAGCTGTGGAAATTTCAATCATCAAAACTCAAAACAGCTTCACTGTAATTGACTAATTATGCACAATAGCCCATCAGTAAAGCAGACAGAGACTGCAATACACATGCATATTTATAATAGGATTCAAGTTTAAGATAGGAACAGCTACATATAGAGTGAAATCTTGTAATTACCTTTGGTTCAGATTAACCCAACAAGTGTTCATTTGGTCAGTGGTTTCCTTCACCCTCCTTGTGTCATCATCACGATATTCTCGGAGAAGTTTATTTGAAAGATCATTGAACGCAGCTACTGTGATGTCACCTCTATGCAAATCCTGTACTAACAGCTAAAAAGAAATTCCAGGATGAGACAGAATAAAATAATAATCAGGCTGGTTTTCTATGCATATTACCATTTATAAAGCCCTCCTTTTTGCTTTTGGTTAGTTTTTTCTGTCTTTCTTTTCTTTAAATGTGCATATTTTTATCTACAAGAAAAATCTTAAAAAGAAAACCTACAGATACTAAGCATACTGACAATAAACCAATCAAAACACAAATAGGTGAGGAAAAAAACATATTTGCCAGAACTGCCAAAGGCTAGAAAAATCCTCTTCTGTGTTTTACTGGCAACAGCAGTAAAAACACTTCCATATTTTTAGTAGCATGAATAAGTTTAAATTATGATAATAATGATAAAAGCGGCAGCTAAAAGCGGCATAAATGAAGTGTGCAGCGTGAGATTTTAGTGCCATTGTTTTGTGGGGTTCTTTGTTTTCAAATTAAGAAAATATAGTAGGGGTGTTTGCTTACTGTGGCAAGATATTCATAATGTGCTTTGACTTTCCAGAATTGGGAATGCAAGATTATTTCTAAATGTAAGAATGTATTTGTGCATATGTACGTCCGGTTGTATCTTCTGATCTTCATACTACATGTTCAGACACAGGCCTGCTTTTACTTAAGAAAGCAAAGCAGACCTAATAGTTCATTTTCAAACTCCTACACATGTAAAGAAGTACAATAAAACCCAGTCAACTTTCCTGTTGTTACTCCCTGCTTCTTTCCATACCCAGCTGCACCCCTGTGTTGTGTCTTCATGAATATATATATGTGTGTGTGTGTATATATACACACTTCTTAAAACTCTGTTATAGCCCTGTTCTAATACTGCACTTGTAAGAGTCCCTCCTTGCTGATTTGCCTCTTTAGTTCTCACCCTGTGCCACCTACAGCCTGCCCTTTTTCTGACAGCCACCGGGACAAAGAACATCAGACTTATTGATTTATCACAGCAGGTTTGCTGTGATATAAAAAGTAGCAAAGATTCCATGGATCGAGGAGGAAAAAAGAAGTGTTGAATAGACCTGGCACCCATCAGAAGTGAAATTCAGGATAATTTTAAATAACTTGGCCCATTCATTGCTGGAGTTACTAAGCTATTGTTAAGAGGTTTCTAGAAAGTAATACATACTACATTATGTGACTGTATTATTAAACTTCTATTTTTCTGAGGTTCAAGCTTTTGCATAGTATCACGTATTAGATGCTATACTATACTCATTTCAACTACACTTACAAAAAGACACACATGCACACGACACCTGCTTCCCTCTCAGAAAGCAATTCTAAGGAAGTCTGACATATTAAAATAAGAGACAACTTAGAATATATCATCTCTGAAAGAGACAGAATTGCCAAATCAGTAGCATTACATAGACTGAGGAGTCTGGTATGAAGGAAAAAAAAGTGTAGATGATCTTACTTTGTTGTCTGAAATCTGTTTGGCAAGCATCTCCTTTGGGGCCTGCATGAGCATACGCAGACGGATCTCACACTGTTCCATGAGGTGCTCCATTTCTTGCCTCTGTTCATCCCACTGCATGCTGTCTGCCAGCATGTACTTGAGCTGCTGCTGCCGCAGCTCCACGCCATGCTGGGTATTGTCCCACTGGTTCTTCACCTTCTCCACTGTGGATGACAATACAGAATATGAAAAATCTGAGGCAAGCAAACAAGTAGCCATAACTACCACTTAATTCTCAGGATAAGAGCCAATAATGTAATTCATTATCACACACAGTAGTTTGCATATTCAGTATTTTAGTTCCCCATGTAGTTTACACATTCAGACAAGCAAATTAAATATGAAGGTCTTTGGCTACCTCTTGTTTAAGCGGGTCAGCATACAGGTAACAGCTAATTCTTTCTGGAATACTTAAAAGGTGTTATTTTACTTTTGATGCTCACACATGTGGGAGGCAAATCTGCCATGGCTGCACTGCAGATATATGCCAGCAACAGGGCTCCAAGGAGAACAATTTTAGGGTGACGGCCATACCAGCAAGTCATCTTTGTGCATTGCAACTTAAACCAATACAAATAAAGAAATAAATGCTGTTTAGATCTGGATAGCTTTTACAAAGTGAACTAAGCTTTCCAGACCGCTGTGTGTTGAAGGCAGTCTAGTGACACCTGTGCTACAATTTTGGCCAAGGTAGAAAGGATCCTAGTAACCTACTTCAGCACTTCTCTTCCACCATAAGTTTCTACAGGCTTACGCAGATTACATAACAGAATGGAGAAGTTATTGATAACCTCCATTTCCTTCAAGTATCCTGTTTCTCTCTCAATAGTTACAATAGCTGACTGATAAACAGGCTTTACCCTTTAATAAACAAAGGGTGAAAAAGACAACATTACAACAGCCTAGGACAAAAATAGTGTGTCAGGGAAAGCATCAAGTCTGCCTTAGAGAGAAGTGAGTAGCATCATAGCTTTTTCTTAATATTTACAGACCTACAAAAAAAAGCGTATTACTTGAAGATCTAGAGAGGTGGGAACAGGTTTCCCTATTACCTGTCATGACAATTATTAGGAACACATTATATCACTAGAGCTAAAAAGAAAAAAGTGAATGTAAAAAAGCAAACAAAGAAATTACATCCAATATATTTATCTTACAAGTGAGTTTGCAATTTTACTAGAAAACTAATACACTTGATACTCAAGTCACTTCAATTTTCCGTGATTTTAACCTTTTACAATTATACAAATCCATTATGCTTGACCTGCTTGGGAAAATCTCTAACTTTAACACATTTTAAAACATCCTGTTTAGTTTCACAAGGCTCTCAAAGATGGTGGCAGCAAATAATTGTCAGAATAACTGTACTACTGGAGGACAAACCCAATCATCTGTGCAATACAGATCCCTCAATTTCAACCCATAGGCAACTTGTGGATTAATTTTCAGGCATGACACAGGTCGTGCTGAATGAAAACTTAGAAGAAACCTTCAGTAACCCAACAGCAAAATAATATGGATTTCATTTAAAAAATAAATAAATAAATAAATTGTTACTGTATTGCATAAAAAGTATGTTCAAAGGAAACCAGCAGCTGTTGGGAGAGATCAGTAGTTTCACCAAAATAGCAAAAGCAAAACCAGCAGGAGTAAAAAAAGGCTACAACCCTGTGTGCTGCTGGCTGATGAACTGCAGAGAAAAACCTCTTCAGTGTTTAGACTCTCCCCACAAAGCTGGAAAGAAAAAATATCCCTGAGAAACAGCTGCCTACAACAGCAACTTGGTTGAAATGGATATTTGATGTTTACACAGTATTATTACAAAGAATATTTCTTGATATATTTTTTGCAAATAATGGCCAGCTTAACCTTACTCTCTGCAGTGTTGACTTATTTGCCCTCTTGTCAGCCCCCACCAAAACAAGACAGAAAAATAATGAAGTTTTTGGTATTGTCAGCATTCAGTGGCTTCAATAGGTAGGTTCCTAGAGAAAGTTGTCAGGGTCAAAACACAGCACTAGACCAGTTACTAGTAAGAAAATTAACTCTATCCCAGCTGAAACCGTCTGGTATGAAAGAGAGAAAGATTGGAAAGAATCCTTGGTGAGACTCTGTTTTTAATTCACATTGTCCATGTACTAATTGGCAGGGACACTATAGAGAAGTTGTTTTTTACAATTAAGGTAGTAAAATACTGGAACAGGTTGCCCAGAGAGATGGTAGATGCCACATCCCTGGAGACATTCACAGCCAGGCTGGATGGGGTTCTGGGCAACTTGGTACAGTTGAAGATGTCCCTGATTATTGCACTAGGGTTGACTGTATGACTTTCAAAGGTCCCTTCCAACCCAATTATTCTATGATTCCATGATATTGTATTTTCTGCTGCATGAATTTTCTAATCTTAGCAACCAGCAAAGCGTAAAAGTTCAAATAATAAACTGTCCCTCAGTTTCCACTTGTTTCAGTTGTATGTTTTGTTTCCTTAAGTACCAGTAAAAAAAAATTCAAAGGGGCTGGGGACCTTTAAACTGGAAGTTCAGTTTTCAAATACGTATCAGTGACTTAAAAGCTCTAAGTCTCAGTGAACAATCTCAAAAGTACATACAAAGTTATTGTCTTAAATTGATACAGTCATGCTTCTCACTGTCCAGTGCCTCATAGCTCAGCAAAAATAAAGATGCACAATTAGTTCCTTTTATTAGTTAAAAAAAAAAATCCTTATCCCTGGGTCTGTCTGTCAAATAATTCAAATTCTTCATAAAATATTCTGAAATCTGAGTAAAATATTTACCTTTGTACTTAAAAAAAATGGCCAGTCAAGAAAACAAGCAGCAATTCTCATTAGACTGTTATAGAGTGAAAGCTATTTAGCTGCTAATTTTTCACTTTGTTCAAGGAAAGCAACTTCAGCTAGGCTCAAAATCAAGAGTTTAAGAAGAAGATATGAATATTATTTTACTGCCATGGAAATATTGTATTTGCAAACACTGAATAGAGAAACTTACATTTTTCTGTGATCACTGTCCTAATGTCTGAACTTGAAGTTTTATTTTTCAAATTCTGAGCCAATGTGAAAACAGAATCCAGCTGAGGGTGCCGCTGGTCCAAATCTGCTTTTGTTATCTGTTGAGAATTAGGGTATGACTTAAGTCCAAAAAGCAGAATTTAGTTAACATCATCTGTATTATTTGTAGACAAACAAAACACATATGTCACTACAAGTAGATGGTTGTTCCCATCATTATTTTAACCCCTGAACTGTCACATTATTGTACCACTGCTTTAAAAAGCAAAACTATTCTGAATTATAGTTATTGAAAATTCACAGGTGGAGGTTAATCTGTACAAACCACACAATTACCACAGTTATTGCACAATATTTTTCAATATCTATTTTTCACTCTCCCATAACTTGTTTTTCTCTTATCAAGCTCTGATCATTTATATATTGGGGGGAGGGGAAGGTGTAAAGGGAGAGAGATGGAGAAGGAAAAAAACCCAGAAGGAACATTCATACTGGATTAAAAACATAGTTATTTACTACAGTAATGTACCAGAAGCCCACATTACAAGTACAATACAGTTAGAAGAAAGTGTTTCCAAAGTTACTGTACATCAAATTATTCTTTCAAATTCCAGATTATGTTAGACACCCCCAGAAACAGTTTAGCATTTGTTTAGCCTGCAGCTTTTACTCTACAGTTATGCATGTTAATTGATATCAAGTCAAATAAAATGAACCTATAGCATATATCTCAAATACTGCCCATGGCTCAGCATAGCATGAGCTATCAACAGAAACAAACATTTACATCATAAGCATTTATGGTGCAACTCTTAATCATTTTAGCATGTCCCTGGAAATCAGTTTAGTCTAACTACAACACAACAAAACTAATTAGAAACCGCTAAAGAGCAGATCATAAAGGTCACCCTCCAAGCAAATATGAAGCTGCTCAAAGGATTCAGCATAAACTATCTACACATTCCCCAAAATATTCCATTTTCAGGGAGTATCTTCTGTGTGCTTTGTTTAAAATAAACAAACAAAAGCAATGCCTAGCTTGCATAGCAACACAGGAATTAACAGGAAATAGTAGAGGGAAGAAGAGTATAGTAATGATAGCATTTAAAGTGTAATTTTCAAGTTACGCATTTACTGCAGTCAGTTTCTTTTTCCTTTAAACACACGCAAGTTCTTTACTGAATGTACAACCTATTAAAGTGGGAGCCAATTTTCCAATCCACTAACTAGCCTTCACAAAAACACATACTTTCATTCGTGCAATAGTCCGATTGATCTCTTCAGTATTTCCCACGGTGACTATGTTTGACTTGAGCATCTGGTCAATCAATACCAACCAGTCAGCCAGCTCAGTTGTAGTTTTATCCAGATCAGCAGGTGCAGAAAGTTCCAAAGCCTGCTGAGCCTGAACAGGAATTTCCAATGAGGAAGATACTAGCACCATCTTTTGGACATCTGGAACAGAATTTGGGGGAATGTTGAAAAAAAGTCATGGCCACATGTGCAACTGTGGGAATTACAGGGTTTTTTGTGATTCCTATAAATATACAAAAATGTCTACAGAGAAAGCACAGCAACATTTGTATTTGAGGCATTTTAACCACCAGAAACTAAGTAATCAGAAATTCATTTTACCCCTCCCTTTATCTCCCCCCACCCTTAGTGGTTTTTTTGTGTTGGTTTTTTTTTTAAGGCTATGAATTCTTTCATTGCATGCCAAAGACCCAAATGATTCAGCCTAAGTAAAAAATAAACAAGAAAACTTGCAAAGGCAAAACGACATTAAATCTAATGGAGTGAAGCTAAACATTCTTTAACACAAAAGGGAACTGACCCTTATTAGACATAAAACTCCAATCCTATAATTAAAGATAAATGTCTAAAATTGTCTCCCTCACTTTTGTATTACACTGCAGAAAGGTTTCCCCCACTCTTGGCTCAGAATTCACAAGTAAGCTCGGAATAGCACAAGTAAGCCAAGCTACTGAAATAGATGCTTCATGGACTTGGCAATATTCAACTGTCCCAAGAAGGGACAGTTCAGCCCCATCTTTTTTTTATCCTGACACTGCGAAAAACTGAAGAATCAGCTGTAAGATTCACTTCAGAAGCTGTGTTTGGTTGTGTTCCAGTTCTGAGAAAATACTAAGTTAAATCAAGATGAGGCATGAATATTACACACTTGCTTCAAACAATAAAATACAGGAGCTTTACTTAAACACCCTGTATGAAAGGAAAGCAAGCTTAAACAAGGTTTTGAAAGGCTTCAACAAAATTTGGCTTTCCTCCTTTAACTAGTTTACTGCTGCTGAATTGAAAAAAAAATTAGTAATATCAACATACTGAAGTTCAAGCTGCAAAATCTTTCAGCTGCCTTTTTTAATCTAGTTTTCTAAAAAAGAGACTTGGGCATCTTGTTCACACTCTGTATCTGCTGATCCACCTCCAACAACTTGAAAAGACAGCCAGTGTCAGTGTCTGATAAAGAATGTGTCATATTTAGACAGCTTCCCCTACAAGAATCAGGAAGATAAGTATCTAGCAGATGAGAAAGACCTATCCGAGTCCCTGCTGAGCTGAAAGATGCAGAACGGTCTTTATTTATAGGACTGCAGAGAATCTGCATGCTGGAGATACTTTACAAATAATTTGCTGTGGAAAGCTTCTCGTGGATCTTAATTACTGAATGGCGTGACAAGGCACAAATCTGCAGGCTATTTTGGTTTTTAATCTGTTCCTAGTACACTGGCTCCTGCGGAGGAGGCCCGAGCTTTATAAAAAATTCCTCCATTTCACAACTCTTAAGGAATCTCAAAGGACTCTCCCAGCCCTGAACTGTAGGGAAAAACATTTCCTTCTTTCTCCCATACGCCCACAGTATTGTGAAGGTAGCCCAAGCACGGCAATGGACAGCATTTCTTATTTCCGCTTGTCTAAATTCATAGGGAAGGTTTTCCTTTTCAGATTACTTTTGACTGCAAATGAGGTTAAACTCAATACATTTAAACACAACAGGACTGGTCACTTACCAGAAGGCTTTGTCTGTGTAACAAGACGAGACTGCCCAACAAATGCCTCCAACTCTCTCACTCTGGCAGGCACTTCTCTGAACACCTACAGTCAAGCAGAGAGGAATAAAAACAGTAAGATGAGCTATAGTAACAGCAAAATGCCATTACTTACTAGAAGGCAAAATATTCTACACCATGCTTGCTACAATGGCAAGATGTATTTCAAAGATATTTTTTTTGAAGTATCATTTAAAAACAATAAAGATGCCAAGAGGTACTCAAGACTGCTATTTCGATACATTCCAGTGTCTTACCTAAATCATGGAGAGAAATAAATGAACTGCTGTAGACAAGTTTACATGTTTTTTACTGCCTAGGCATCAAAGCTGTGACTCATTATTTGAGTACACTTTGAAGGAGAGATGATGCAAAGCATGATTTGTGGTCAGTGACAGGAAAATAGATAATCACAGAATTAATTTTGAAAGAAAATACGTTATCACTAAACTCTTGTAATAAAGACAGATTTGCCTACTTTGTTTTTTAAAAGTTTTTAAAAGGCAGTGATGGAAATGTAATAAACAAAGGGGTGGAATCCCCATTTTCATGGCTGAGCAGGTGAAAACAAATCTTTTTCTTTCCCTGAACAAATAAAAAATCCTTTCCCCAACAAATTGCTACCACTCTGATCCATAATACAATCCCAATAATTCTGTTCCCTTTTCACTTGAATCTCCAGGCTCTACTGGAGAAAAAAGAAAAAAAAAAAAAGAGAGAAAAAATAATCTGGTTTTACTCCAAGCAGTGAGGATTTCTCTTCTCGTATACTTGCCAATGAGATTGAACACTAAAGTTTTTAACATACAGCAGTTATACTCAAGAAGAATCCCAGACACAATTGATAAGATTTTCTCACTAAGATTTAACACAGCTTCATGTGTCTTCCTTTTAACTGCTGCAAACATTCAACTTTCCTATACAGCCAAGATTTACTGTGATTCCCTCAATTTCAAATTAAGACATTACTGTTTGCCTCAAGTGAAATATTTTTAATCCAGCTGTTTAAAAGAAAACCAATAGAAAAGAAAACAAACAAGAAACCGTGAGATAGCTAAATTAACTCATTCTGATGGAAAAATGTCCACCAGTGTTTCATGTAGACATAGATTGGGAACATAGTTCTTGACCATGCCCGCTTGCCTTCCAAGACATTTTACATATATATGTCACAGATACATGTAAAGGATAACAACCATTCTGAGTACATCACTGGATTTTCAACTTCAGATACCCAGTATTGAAGAAATGCACACCTTATTCCATCTCACATTGAGGGACTGCAGGCAATCAGAAAGTTTGTCTTTTTCCTGAGGATCAACATTTTTATCCAAAAGTACTTCAGGTTCAGTTCTATTCAGCCATTCCAGTTTGTCTCCCTGTACTTCCATTTCTTCTCTTAAGACCTAAAACGGATAGAAGAGTTTTAGACTGAGGCAAAATGTGTACATGCTTAAGTAGGGGGCAAGTTTTCCTTTACCTCCAATATTTAGAAATTTCCCTGGAAATTTGTACTGAAAAGCTTCTATTTCAGTTTCTGTTCTATCTAGAAATTACTAAAACATTTATTCAAATACCAACATTTATTGCTAACTGGAAAAACCCACAAAACTGCAAATAGCCAAGGTACCTATACAGCTTCACATCACGCATACTGATTCTCATCTCACAAGATGATTCTGTTTGATCGATTCTTGATGTACCATATATATCCAGAAAGGGAATGCATTGTCAATCATAACTGTTGCCTGCATTCATTTTTAAAAGAAATTAAAGACTAAGGGCCTTATGACATGTATTATACAAGTAAATGGTAGATCACTACAGGATATTTTGTTCTTAAGGAAATGTACTATAAAGGTATTTAAAAACTAAACATAACCTTACAACTTCATTTTGATCAATGTCCCACTGACTTCTTTCTTTTTAAACATGAAAGTGTAGGCAAGATCCTGCATAAGAAAAACAAGAGCTTATGCTTGGATTCTCACTGACTTTAAATCAACTGCACTATTATTTGCCTACAGACCACAAGCACTGTGGAGTAGGAATCACAGATGTTGTCTTTAAAACCCTAGAATAAAAACATTTACAATAGCAAGTGTACATCATGTTTATTCACCCCACTATTTACACTAATCTCTGTTACACAAGTACTATGGAGGTGTGCATAGGAAAGTGACAGGAACACAGGCCTGGAAAGCAGATTACTAAACAAAGTACCTTGCTACAATAAGCACTTTACCAAATAGTGCCTGTCCTAAATTTTCAAAGGTCTAGCTTAAAAGGATTTTTTCAAAACAAAGAATCACAGAATGGTTTGGGTTGGAAGGGACCTTAAAGATCCTCTAGTTCCAACCCCCCTGCTGTGGGCAGGGGCACCTTCTGCTAGATCAGGTTGCTCAAAGCACCGTCCAACCAACATGTTATATCCTTTTTAATTGTAGACTGCTCCAGAAACTACTTGGAAATCTCCTTCTCATTCCAAGACTATTTATTCCTAACTGATCAGTTAACATCTGTATTCTCACTTCTCTAACATCAGCCTTCAATAATATCTCGTCTTCAAAAAACACTTTCTTATTCACATCACCATACCCCTTCTCCTTGTTCTTTGACTAGAAAAAAAAACCACAACACAGTAAGCTGAATTTCTTTGCAGATGAATTCTTCACGCTCCTGAACATCCCAGCAATCTCATTCAGTAACTATTCTATTTCAAATTTACCTTTCCTTAACGTACATAACCAAAAATTGCACAGACGTTCCTGCTTTTGTAGGGCCAAAAGGGTGCCTAATTCCCTGCCAGTGTTTCTGTGGCAAATTCTGCTCCACAACACAGTAAGCTGAATTTCTTTGCAGATGAATTCTTCACGCTCCTGAACATCCCAGCAATCTCATTCAGTAACTATTCTATTTCAAATTTACCTTTCCTTAACGTACATAACCAAAAATTGCACAGACGTTCCTGCTTTTGTAGGGCCAAAAGGGTGCCTAATTCCCTGCCAGTGTTTCTGTGGCAAATTCTGCTTTTCCCCCCACTTACTTCAGTTTTACCTTTCACTTCAGACATCTATATTAAGGCAGATGACAAGAAAAATTAAACTTTTATCATCTCAGGCAACAAATGCTCAACTGACCCAAGTCAATTTGTTTAGGTACACACAACTTCAATAACTTTATATCATTTATACAGATTTGTTGGAAGTTCAAGCCTTTCCACCTGTTTTGTTGGTTTGGGTTTTTTTGCTTGTTGTTTTTTGTTTGTTTTTATTTTATTATTCAATTTTAAAAAAAGAGCAAGCGGGCTTGTTCGATCAACTATTCCTTCAATTTTTTTAGGATTCCAGAAACATTGTCTTTCACACATTCTGCAAACCAAAGATATTTTGTTGTCAAAGCCAGATACAAAATTAAAAGGGAAAATACACACATGTATATGCACCCAACTCCCCTGAAATGACCAAACCCCTTATGTTTAAAAAGCCGGTTAAACAAATTCTTACACATGTAACAAAGTATTAAAGCTGCCCAGTAAACGGGACAATGGTGCTTACTTAGCATTTTAAGCTTATCACCTTTTTGTTAAATTTTGACAATTATAAAGTTGACCTGCAGACATTATCTTCAGTGAAATTCCACTAACTAAATTTTATTAGTAGTACATATATTTCTCACTTTCTGATAAACAGCCACTATCTTCTGGCTAGATAACATACTTATCAACTCAACCCAACTTCATTTTGAGATGCCTCTTGCCTGTCTAAGTTATCTCACAAAACTGTCTTCTACAACCATAATGTTTATAATTTTTGGTAATTTATGATGTGAAAATTCCCCCCCCCCCCCAAAAGCCTCCTTCTGATGCTTTGCACAAAACATACATGTGTATACACATACACACACTAATCAATCTTGCCTGTAATTCTTGCAAGTTTTCTTCATGGTCAAATGTAAATCTTGTGTCGAGAGCATTTTCTACATTTTCCAACCAGCAACGCAGCTCATCAAGCTTCTTTCTGTACTCTATCAGTTGTTGATTCTCTCCTTTTAGCCTTAAAAAGGAGAGCAAAAAACCCACATGCGTTTCTGCAGTGAATACAGCACATCAGTCCCACATTACTTCTGATGCAGCAGTTGTGTTTTTCAGTGGTTGGAGACTTTTAAAGGATTCATTTTGGTAGTCAAAGGATTCTATAGTCATCATTAAAATGCAAGACACTTGCAAATTAATACTACAACCTTAAAAATAGATAAAGTTAAGGTCCAAAAAAAAAAAAAAAAAATCACAACATAGGCTTTTAAGAGTCTGCAAAAAACATAAAAGTAATGACAGTAACTTCAGGCCTAATCACTGTAAGCCACTATAGGGCCACTGTTAGTGAAAGTATTAGAAACATACCTAAACACTCAAAGGAAAAAATTTCATAAACCACACAAATCTTTAATGGAACTTCTCAAACTAAGTAATTAAGAAAAATCTTATTGCATTTCTAAATGGATCAGGAGATGTTAAAAATGCATAATTATACAAACAGCCTCAAAAAAACCCCCTATTAGTTCCAGAGATTTATCGTTATTATATTTTTTTAGTGGTAAGAACAGAGAGGAGGACCTTATATTCCCAGATATGCTAAAAATTGGATATATTGAAAGTTTATCTCAGATAACCTTGCTCTTTGATCTTTTGAAGTAAATTTAAGGCTACATCAAAATATATTTTCATTTTCTTCAGAAAATACCTAATCAGATGGATTACATCATTGTAAACACAGACATATAGGTCTTATTTTTTAGTATTGTGGAAATTCAAGAACAGCACAAGTGTTTCAATTTGTGTACCTTTGACAATGCAAAAACAGAAATCAAGATAATATACTTACAGTTCAGCATGAGCCAGAGAAAGTAGCTGAATATTTTTTCCTTTAAAAGTCTGGCTTAGCAATGAAATTATTTTAAAAACAAAGAAAAATTGTAGGAAAATAAGTTTTTGTGCTTGTCATTTGGTGGGTTGTATTAAACACAACTCACTAAGTAGTCAGCTGCAGGTGCATTTATGAGAAATCAGGCCTAGAAGGCAGTTCGAAACACACACCTCTCAATATCAGGAAAATTCAGACTAATGACAGTGCACAACAGAATGCACTGTCTCTCCCACAGTTTTCTAAATGAGATTCTCTTTATTGGCTCCGGTCAGACATCCAAATTTCTGATTAACTTATTACCTCTGTTGTCTATCCATGACCTCTGCGGTGATTGCTTTCCAGCGTCTATTCAGTCCAGCCAGCTTCTCCTGTAGGAAGCTCCCGTCTGTAGCAGACAGTTTCTGTATGATCCCTTCCCCAGTTCTGTTCAGTGCTGAAACACTGGTCTGATGGCTGCTGACTCCCTCTTCCAGTTCCTGTCAGAAACATAAAAGCCACGCAGAATTTTATTACTGACCTAAAGTGACTGATCTGTGGCTCATAATACGCAGGATGAATCCTGGGTGCATATTATTTTACTAAAACAGGCACTTAAAGACATCTTACTTAAAATTGGATGCTGTTAATTTAAGTTATTAAGATTCTGTTGTTGAATCTAGTTCAGTTTTCTAACATGCCACAGAAAGATAATGATGGAATAGGCTACTGGATACTATTTAGGATTACAAGAATTCATTTAAGCCATCACTGCTAGAATCCACACTCATGTTCCATTTGTTTCTCCTTAAAGCACAGCACTTTCTACTAGTGCTAATGGATGGTATGACTTGTTTTAACCAGTTCTTCTCATAACCTATGCCCCTGACTATCTGGACCTTAACAGTATTTTAGCTAGGATAATTATGGCTATGCTGGCCATGGTCTCAGACATCACAGAAAATCCATGAAACTAAAAGCAAGTCAGAAGATGTCAGAATAAAACCTTCAAATATCCATAACCACTACAAAAAACTTATATTGTTAGTAAAAACTTCTTTGCAAGTAGATCAGCAATAAAGGAAATGACCTAAAAAACCACAAACCTCCAAGCAGCAGCAAGAATAATATACAAACCCTACGTTAGACAGAACTTACATTTCTTTTGTGGTACGTACCTAACTCTTGGATAGCCAATAATTTCCCAAAAGAAAAAAAAAAATCTGATCCTTAGAGTAATGTTTTCTTATTATTATTATTTAGAAGGAAGTAAAGTAGTCTAGCTAAACAGAAAATTCTACTTTTAGTAATCTTCTCTTTCTGGATTGCTTATGCAAGTCAGGATCTTGCAAAGTCAGTTCAAGAAAATAATTTGTTAAGTTATAATTGACCATTGTTGGGTTCCAATTTTTAAATTATGAGTAGAAAGTAAGCAAAATAATATACTTATTTCTTAACTGTTTGATATATTTTTAAAGCTGCAACAAAACTTATGAAACATCTAAAATTATGCCAACATTTGAAATATCAGATTATCTTAAAGTGATGTATACTAAGAATATATATATAAAATCCCACACTATAAGCAGGAGTTGAGCTCTTCCCCAAGAATGATCTTAAACAGCAACTGAAAAAGAACTTTTAAGACGTACCACTTTTTAAAGTGCAACTGCACAGCCTCATTTCAAATCAGTATGTTTGTAGAATTTTAGACAAAAATCTAGACTTTCTCCAGCTTGCTCGTTTTCTGAACAAAATCACACATACCTGCTGATGCAGCCCAGCTCTCTGCAGCTCCAGGCTGCCATCCAGACCTCGGGCATCCGCTAGTAACACTTCAGCTTCTGTTATCCAGTGGGAGAGGTCATTGAGATCACAGTGGAACTGCCTCCAAGCTTCTGTTGCTCTATCAAAGCGACTGTTTGAAACAAAGTATTCAAAAATTACCCAAACCATTTTGGTGAAAAGGCTACAATTCCTAGCAGTGTGTAGAAACCTGCGTTGAAGCAGAAAGGCTGGTTAACCAAGTCCCAGTACCACAGGCTTCCTGACATAATAGCAGCCCATAGCACAGACCATCTTTAACTTCCAGCTGAAGGGAAAAACAGCAGCCCTAAGTAAACTTTTGTTTCTATCACTTAAAATATAAACATTGATTAGCTGAACCAAATTCCTCTGTAAAATCCTTTTTTTTTTTTTTTTGCTTTACTATGAAATGGTTCAGATATCAGATGGTGTGGAATGTGAAATATGATTGATTGCTATGGGGTTTTTTTATCATTATTATTCAGAAAGCATGGGGTACTGGTGCCTGAAATTTAATAAGTGAAGGTGATTTTGATTATATAGAACTGACTGTATTACCAGTGGGCCTGCAGAAGTAAGTTTTCTACAATTTAATCACACAGTAATTTACCAGGCATTTCATTATTATTAGCATCTTTACAGCCTCAAATTAATGTGTAGCTTAACATGAAGGGCAACAATTTCTAGCATGGAACAGGCTGAATTATCACAGTCAGAAGGCTGCTTTTAACTACAATGAGAGTTCTAGTATGTTAACAAACTAACAAAACCAGCCCTATTTACTTTATAATGCTAACACAGAGTTAGCAATCAACAAATAGAAAACAAGCTACTTTTTGCCTTTCTGACATTGTTTTCTTATTCAACATGCAGCTCTGGGGCAAAGTCCATGACAGGAGCAGCACTGTTACAAACAGCTTAACAGAGCATTAAGCCCATACATACACACACACAGGCATTTCACTTTACACATACGATCAAGGTAAACTGAACTCCATTTAGTTGAACAATTCGAAGTTTAGATAAATAGAGTTTAATTCAACTTGTGCTTGGCTACATCAGAGCTTTTATTAAAGGTTTAACTACTTAGCTGGTGCTCAATCACAAAATCATTACTACCTCTGAAAACTAAATCCATTTTATGCCACAGACTTCAGCTGCTGTTTTTCCTAACCCTGTCAGAATCTCCACCCACTCCAGAAACAGGAAAAAAAAAAAGCCAAAGACTGAGAAGATAGTCTTTTAGCCTTCTTGTTTATGCTTATGCCAACACCAGAAAGAGCAAGAATAACCTGGTTAAAAATTCTTCTTAGTAACAGAAACAGTACAAAAATACTAATGTCAAAATACAGCATTTTAATACTGATACTAATGGTGTCTTCATTAGTCAAAGTATAGCCTTCTATTAAAATTAAAATTGCAGCACTTAATATATTCAGGAAGCTACATACCATTTAGCTGAAACTGATAGTCCAGAAGTCCCTTTTGTATGAAAATCACAGCCAGTATTATTCTCATTAAGATTCACAGCTTTACTAGCTTTATGGAGTTGAAGATTAATTTGTATTCAGTGAACCAGCTGAAGAGGTAATCTCTTGCATTTTGCCAGCTAATCATAAACATTGAACTTACTCTTTGATACACTTCTCTTTTCCAATGGGAAGTTTCTGGTTAACCCTGGCTACTTAATGAAACCAAATTTAAGTTATAAATTAAATTAAACTCATACTTACAAAAGGAGAATATTAGTTAAAGCTTTTCAATTAAGTTACAGGATGGAAAAAAGGCATACCTAAACCTTAGCATGCATCATACCTATGACGACAACAAAATAGCTGCAGGCATATAAATACAGATGAGCACCAGATTCTGCAGCAGTGGTGTCCAAACCAGAACGTGACCACAGGCAGCCAGCAAGAGCACAGGAAGTGCTACCTACCTGGCACCACTGTTTGTTTTCAAATTAAAGAAAAAAAATAGACAGTGAAACAACAGTGCCTGCTGAATGTAAACCTTGATGTGTCACTGATTCAGTGGCACAAAATTTCTAGAAGTCTCTGCTTACACAATACTACCAACTGATTTTTATATTCCTACACACACACTAGTGCTCTGAGGTAAAAACATCAGCTTGTGTAAAACACACTCTTACAAAAAACAGTCTCTTCAAAGTACGCTACTGATGTTTGACATCAGATTTCTGGTGCTACAAAGCAAGTGAACATGGCTAGACATTACTCCATGCTCTACAGAACTTACTTATTAACTATTACCTGTATCATTATTAAACAGCAAATACTATAAAAGCAAATTAACTACAGTATGAGCCTTTGCATTTAAGTTTCATAAAATCTTTCTCAGACATTAAAAGCTTTTTCGCATAGCAGCAATCTCAGTGTCTATCGCTGTTCAGAGCGCGAGTACGTTCAGATTAGTGGTAACTTTCTGAACACATACTTTTATACTTCTACCAATTCCAACTTAAAATACCTTTCTGTCATGTTTTTCCAAGTTTGACTAAGTGGTATTGAGTTTGTTTTTAAGCATTTAAAGTTGATTTAGATAAGAAGGCATTTTCAGTTTAGAGCATCTTGTGTAAAGGCTGGGGAGGAATCAAAGCTTAGTTTAACTTCTCCCCCTGCCCCTTTTTGGCTTAAGTGAAAATACAGCTGTTTGATATTTGTAGAATGGAAATAGGAAATAAACTGCTCTTAAGCACCGACTTCAATATTCTCTTGTTCTTTCAACCACAGTGTTCTAATCTGGCCATCTCTTGTCTTCAATTACTTACAACAAAGATTACTGGCAACTATCATACCTGCTGCACTTTAAAGATCCCCATCCTTTCAAATTCTTTCCCTCCTTCAAAAGCATCATTTAATTCTTTGTTAAAAGATGTCTTAATATTTTTCTTCTAGAACTTTGCTTTGCAATACCTTTGCAAAACAAAAATTTTATGTCTTATCAACAAAATATTCTATTTTATAAAGCATAAAAGCACCCAAACTACAATTTGTGTGTTAACTGTTTCAACATTCACTAATTCTGGCAATTATCGTGTCATGCTAACATATTAAAGCAGGTTACTCTCAAATTCTATCTTTATCACTAGAATACATCTGTAAAATGCTTATATTCAAGTACTAGAATATTTACCACGTGGTCACAGAAACCAAGCATCTTTGACTTACCACTTACGATCGTTGTACATTCTATTTATTCTGTCCCATTCCGCATTCAGCTGGGTTAGCGCATCTCCTATTTGTATCGCCTCAGGTCCAGATGCTTCTAATATAACATCAGGCTGCTTCTCATGTATGACTGCAATTTGATCCCCAAGTTTATCCAAAGTGTCTTTTATGTTCTGCAAGCACAGTCATGACAAACCATGAGGAGACTCAACACCAGCAGGAGACAAAAAATTAACAAAGTAACAGATTAAATCAGTTTTAGCAACTCAACTGAATATATCACAACTCTAAGAATGTGTCGTTCTCAGGGTTTTTTTGACAAGGATGAAGTATTTTACATATCCAGTCTGTTCCTGAGGCAAAGGGGCACACCATATTTCTCAAAACAGCAGTATCTTCATTATTAAACAGATCTGTCCCTGGGTCATGAAGACATTGTACATATTCCTTACTCATATAAAAATATGAGACGCAAAACATAACTTTATTACACTTCACGTAATCTCCCATATGCACAGAACTGCAAAAGCATAAGCTACATAAAAGTTTTAAATTTAAATGACAAACTTAAAACAATCTATCTCAAACATCATTGAACTATGGTGTGAAAATACCTTTCAACCAGATGTTATTGCAAGACTGCCTTGGTATCTGGAGGACAAAGAGTCCATGTAAACAGTGCAATTTACTTATCATTTTAAATTTAAAACGGTAACACTTCCAAAAACACTATGCTCTGCCATTTGCTTCTTCTGAAAACAGCCTTAGAATATATAAAAACTTCAAAATCAAACTAGAGACCTGCACCAAATGAAAAAAAAGAAATGAAAGAATGAAAAAGAAAAGCATATACTCAGCTTAAAGAAAAGTAGGTTGGAAAAGTGGACTGAAATTCTTAAAAGCTTTTAAAGTACCTGTACACCAGCTGCAGAAACTGCTTATCTAGCTTTTGCCGAGAGGCAAAGCCTGACTGCATCAAATCTGGACTCCACTATGTTTCCTAAGGCACGCTGGTACATGTGAACTGCACCATACCACATGCAATTCCCAATTCCAATGGATGTTTTCTGTGGGAATCTCAGTATCATGCTTCTTTGTGTGATCAGAATTAACCAGGACACAGACTTCTACATACTTAGGTCACATGTAATAGCAGGATGCAGTACTTTCAAACACAATTCCTTCTTTCCCTTTTAAAGAAGGGCAAACCCTTAACTACTTCCTTATCATTAATCACACAGGTAAATCCACTGGGTGACAATGAGAAGTGGGAGCTTAAAACTGAACATATTTATGCTTTGCTAATCAGAACTGGTACCGTTATCTTGTGGCCTCGTATATGGCTTCATACAAAAGTCAAGAATCTCCTTTTCTCACTCTTCCTATGTGAGCAATTGTTTTCATATGACACAGAGAACAGCAACTATATTAAGGAGACCAAGCAGGAACATAAGGAGATTGGCTTTTTCTCTACATATTATGTAGACTGCATGATGAAAACCATATTTTCTCCAACAAAAGAAGTTAAACTCTCCTCCCCTAACCCCTCCCCCAGCTCCTACACCATTCCACTTTGTATCCAGGTTCTGCATAAAAGGAAAAATTAGCCACAAAACTATTTGTTATTTAATTTCCAGTTTATATTGATCTAGTATATATGGGGCAAAAAAACCAAATACAGCTACACAGTCACTAAGGTGGTCTTTTTTTTTCTGCTACTCCCTTCTCCTCTCTGAACCTAATGCGTAAGGCATGGAGTACCTTCAGTGCATCTTCCTGAGTTGAAAAATCCTCATAGATGCCAGTATTTAGCTCTGGTGCATTCAGCAGTAGTTCAACATCAGCCATGGCCAGCAAGACTTTGTTGATTTCAACCAAGTATTCAGCCGAAAAAGTCAAGGTCCTAACCCCTGTGGCAAAGGGGCCTTTTAACCTCTGCTGGACAGGAACTGCCTAAAACCAAAAAAGTTCATTTTACATTTCAAAGAACAAGCAGTTTTGTGAAAAAATCCTAAATCAGTAGACTATATTCAGAGTACGTACTTTTACATTTAAAGACAAAACAGGCATTTCTAGCAAATTACATAAATTCAGAAAGCTGCAAGTCCTGCAGAGAGTTGTTTCTATGTTTATTTTAAACAGTTAGAAAACGGTAGATATCATGCTTCACAATGATCCTGTATTATTCTCTATTAAAACTCTGGGGAGTGGGAAGGGCACTGCTGTTTCTCTCACCTTGATCCTTGCTGTTTCCAGAAATTACACTTCTTAATCAAGCTTGTATCTATTTGTAATTACAATCCACTGTCTACTTCCTTCATCATCAAGGACTCCCAGAATTTACCAATTTACTGAAGCACACTTTTTTCCCCTCTCCACATTCTTTTCAGTAAGCACCTCATTTCCCAATCATTTTTTAGATAAATTAGTGCTCCACCAGTATCACAGTATGTTTTTTGCAGCAATAAGAGATACTAACTCCTCAAGAACTTGGCAGTTGTTACCTGCTCTGGCTGTAAGACCAAGCTACCTAGCCAAGTACCGTGTTAGCAGGTAAGAAAGCAAGAACAGTAATTTAATTGAGCTTTTTCTTGGATTATAAATGATGGCCTGGACCTGAAGCATTAGGAAGCCAGCTACAAGAGGCTATACTCTGCCATGCCTGGCAAAGGTAGCAGAGGCAGGTGAAGCAGATAGCCCAAAGACTGAGAACAGCTTTTAGCTGTAAAGTTTTCTTGTCCAACAGGATTCTGTTACCACCTCTGAAAACAGCCCAGTTCTTTAAAATCAACAATGGAAAAATAAACCCACCTCCAACTACTGAAGAATTCATGCAACTTCTAAGCCACCATCCTGTACTCAGGGAATTTGAGTCAAGCAAGACAGAGACACAGGCACTCAACTGTATGAGTTACTAGCGGCTGAAAACACTTAAGAGTGTGAAGAATAAATTTATGTTCACAGCTATTTCAGCCAGTGAATTTTACTTTGCAATTAGTCTGGGCTGGGTGCACACATGCAAATCACTAGCACAGCTGACAACCAGTAAAATATCAAGCCCCACTAACTAAGTTGTTTGCAAACACCTGTCTGTATGCTCCTCCTCCACATGTTTCTGATCATTTCAAATATGTCACTCAAATTAACTGGAATCTAACATATGCAGCACATGTAGTGCAAAAGGAAAAAGACCGCAGCAGTGAAGGTATGTTCACGTATTCAACATTCGGGATTTTTTCTCATGCACTGAATGGTCCTAAGGATTTTATGTCCTTTTTGTTTGGTTTGGGGGTTTTATGCTTTGTTTTTTTAAAGTACATAGCCAGCCCTGTACTGAAACTGGGGACACAGTTGTACTTCCAGAAGACCTTTATCACCAAATATGGTATGCTTTCAGTCATTATTGTGCATCAAAGCAATGTCATGCACAGTCACATAAGTGTAAGTTTAATCTACTGAAAACAAGTATTACAGACTAGCATCATAAAAATGCTCAGCATTGCTTTTGATTCAGTAACAGTACAGTAAGCACACACAACAGTAAAAACCATGAACTACTTCATATGCTTGAGCTACAAATCCAGCATCTTGGTCCCTGGTGCTTCTCAAACACATTTTCTTGAAGATCTGTATATATTTTGTCAGCTTCCATCACTGAAATTTGGAGCAAAACCCAGGGCTTAGACAGGGGTAAGATTTCCTGTGGAAGGAGGGGCACCAGCTCCAAAAGGAATCAGACAAAGGTTGTACAACTCAAAGTATCTTTTCCCCAGCAATGTGGAACAAGCCAGGGTTTGAACAAACACGCGGATGCCTGCTGCAGCACAGCAGCCCCAGAATCTAGATTTCACCCAAACAAATAGGTCACTGGATTTTATTATCTTTCTACTTCACACACACTGCTTTATCTCCTATTAGAAAAAACTTGCACAAGATTTAGAACAGCATCTGTTGGCATGCAGCAAACTTCTTCTCCACTTGTCAATGCTGACATATAGCGAAACTTTCTGGTTCCCCAGTAGCAACATCCTGGGGCCAGGTTGCTGCTCTTCTGCAAATCAGTGAATTCCTGGTGATGTTCTTGCAGAGCACACCCCATCACTAATCTCTTCCAGCTACCTTCCACCACTGAGATGATGTTTCCTCTTTTTACAACTCTCCTTCTTAAAGGTGAACCATATGTGTTACAAACATTAGTGCTTTACTACAACCGAGTTTTAATTGTTCAGCTGTTCTCTACCTTGCATTGCAGACTGGCAGCTTCTACAATGAAGCATAATTACTAAAAAAATGGTAAAGCAGAAGTTTGGCATAACCATCTCACACAAATCAAACACCTCAATGTCACAGCAGCTGGTTTTTAGGGTTTCAATTGTTGGGGGTTTTGTCAGTCAAGAAAAAAACAATCCCAAACCAGGCAATCAAACTCTTAAGCACCCACAAATAAAAAGATAATCAAAGGTTATTTAGGAGGAGATCTCACTGGATGACTCAATAGCCCTTTTCTACTTTAATTTCAGTGGTGATAGAGAATGTTGATTAAATTTGATCTCTCTTTAAATACAAGAAAAAGCGAAGGACTGGGGGAAAAAGGATGAATACTCAGTTACGAGTGTACATTCTATAAACAAGGCCTCTTGATGAGAGCTGCTAAAAATAATTGTAATTTAGTGATCAAATAGAAATTTGCTTCCTCCTATACTTAGCATCCAGTTCAACCTGCAATTCGGAGTTCAGTTTCAGATATTCTTCTCCTTTTACACAAAACCTACCAAAGATTCAACTCAAGGAGATGCTCTGACTTACTTCCAAATGGATTTTGGAAAACATTGCCCAAGAATTTGACATAAAATTAAATAATTTACCTTGCACATTTAACTACATAAACATTTTAACCAAAAGTGCTTACCCAGTCTAATCTGAGATTACCACACATTAGTTACCTTTGCAAATAAATACCCTTTTGATTAGAAATTCTCACTTTTCAACCATTCCTTGCCACTTCTCTCTCACATTCAAAATATAGTATAGCCAGCTTTCTAGAAAAAGGTTTTCCAAAGCTAAACATCTCATGTCCATTTTACTTCTTCTGGGTTAAATAATGAACTCAGTAAGCAACATATTTGTGGGCAATGTAACCTATAGTTCATATTTAAGTAATTCAGAACCTTCCTCAGTAGGCAAGCAAACATGTTTTCTTTATTACAGGAATAATATTTTAAAAGCCTTCAAGATGGTATCTGTGTTTCAGTTTATAGGAAAAACTGCCCTGTGCCCGCAACAGCAAACTCACCATCTGCAAAGTTATTATCACTTCAAAACAATTTTCTAAAACCTGGAAAAATCTCTCAGGAACTTTAGTCAACTAATTACCTCTGCAATTTAACGTTTAATTTTTCCATTCCCTCATTCTGAGCCAAATCAGAATAGAGCAACTTAAATCAATACTAAAGCAAGGTTAGAGAAGAAGAAACTCAAGGAGATGCAAGCTTCCATTGCAGGCTTTTCTAGCTTAGGATCTGTGGCAAAACAAAGGTTATTCAAGAAGTACCTGCTATGCAGAAGGGTTACAAATATTTCAGAGACACTTAACTCCATAATCCCTAGAAGCATACAGGATGGGGAATATTTACAATCCAGCTACTTCCAGCAAATAAATATATAGATATATATGACCTTCAAGCACCATATGTAAGTCCTCTCCTCCACACTCATTTACAAAAACATAAATAACATATTATTTAAAGCCATAACTGAAGTCTACTCCCCATCTCGGCATCTGAAATCTTTTTTCTCCTCCTCTTTCCTGTTTGTTCATTTTAAACACTGGCTTCTCTTCCTCTGCTCACTGCACCTTTATTACATCAAGCTGAGGGGGTGCACATAGATGATAAAAACTGGGGAGGGGAAGTTTCTGTTGCAGAATTTTAGCATTAAGGTTCCCCCTGGTGCTGAGGATAATTCAAATCTGATGGCTCCAAAAAAATTCTGGAGCAACTGTGGTCATCTAAAATGATGGTGTGTGGGAACACTATTTCTCCTTTTAGAAATGGTATTTTTGTTTCCATTTTTGGTCTTCAAGATCAATTAGTAAAGCAGGTGAAAGACCAAGCCATAAATGTAAAATAAGGCCACTTGAGGCAGGCCAGCTCACCACTCAAATAGCAGAAAGCTGGATGTACAAACACACGAAGCAAAAGCAGCAGTTTCCAAGTTTCACAGCAGTAATGAAAATTGCTGTGGTCCCTTTCTGAAATTCAAGCTGACTCAGCCAGACTTAGAAACTACATCTGGAACTATAAGGATATTTTTTACACAGCTTAACTAATGCTGAGCAAAGGTAACATTTCTCCATCAATAGTTTACTGTAATTGCTATGGTAATCCATATTTACATGATATTCTGCATTCAGCATCCAGATACCAAAAATGCAGTAATCCAGGAATGTATCCAGCGGTGCCAGGGATTAGCTGCAGTATATCCTTAAAGAAAGGCCTTTATAGGAGGCAAAGGATCTTCCCTAGATAAGACCAGCCAAACTGCAGTGAGACTGACAGCAACAAGGAAGATCAGTGTGTGGCACAACTGGACTTCTCCCATCAGCAAAGAAACCATCCAGGGGCACCCTTCTTAATACAGTAGTTGATTCACTCAAAGCAGCTGATGGTCAAACAGAAAAAGTGAATAATGTTGGTTTACTTCAAATGTGTATGGATCTCCATTTCATTCAAGCAAATTCCCTCACATCAGTCATGTCCCAAGGAGCTTACATGCAAGTACCACAACACACCAGGAGTGACTGCTGGGGACCCAACAAAGCAGTCAGATGTCAGACAGTTAAACAGATGTTGGGGCCATCTTTGCTGCCCAGCTCTGCATGGGAGGTTTATATTTGAAAAAGCCTCTCTAAAGAGAAACAGATTTAAAAGGTTTACTTTCATAGCTAATACTGCATGACCAAGGAGAGCAGAAGAGCAGACCGTCTGCCATTCCTTCACAGATGTCACAGGCCAGAAGCCAGACAGCACTACAGCTCCGAACGAAGAGCACCACATTATGATTTTGTGGTGTGAGTCTCATAGGGAATTAGAGCACTTTACCCCTGCTTCCAAGTTAATTGGTGCTGGGTTAAAAAGTTACAGAGCAGTCAAAAAGTGATTGATTAGTTTTAATTATGAAGCTTCATACCCAGCAGCTGACAAGTACTTGACAGATTGCCTAGCCCCCAAGCTTGTCCAAGAAATTACTTACTGCTTCACAAGGTTCCTCACTGTTATTGCCTAAAATATTAATGTAATTATTGAGCAGCCAAAGTGGTTTGAATGATGAAAAGGAGGAAAAAAAAATTAAAACAAACAAACAAAAAAAACCCCAACAATAATAAACTTTCCAAACAACAAAATTACAAACATCACCACAAAAACCCACATACAACCACCATACCACAAAAAAAAACCCAAGCCAAAAACAAAAACACCAACAAGAAACCCCACAAAAAACACTGAAAGTATCTGTAGTCTCAACAATAAAGACATAAAGACATACAGCTGTCTAGGCACTAAAATTTATCAGACCCTGACATCCTATTAAATCAGTTGTAAAACTGTCAAGAACTATACGCATACATTATTAGAAATACTTCAACCTTTGTCATTTTTATTAATCTTCATTGTGTACAGTAATATCAATCACGAGGGTAGTTATCACTCCCTAAGCACCCAGGGCTGTGAAAGGCAGCACCAGAGAAGTTAAAAAAATTGAGACCACAGGATGCAGAGGCACTGAGTTTAAGCTTCAAACAAGGCCTTTATCATACCTGCACCAAGCAGACATTGAATCAGGTTGGTGATTCCATTTGATACCCTGTTTGAGACAGGGTATCAGAAGGAGCAAAGCATAATCCCCATGAGCAAGACTAACAAGAGAAACTGTCCTGAGTCAACCACACTGTCCAGATCACATTCTAAAACTTGGGCCTGATGGCTGGGACATTCTGGACCTGTGATGACTATGGAGAAATCCCAAACTAGTACACATGGATAATTTCCTAATGAAAAATGAATCCTGACAGTTTGAAAACTCTTGTCTCCAAGTAGATATCAAAGAGCCATAAGACCCTAATGTATGAATCTCTAAAGCTCACAGTGTTCACTGTTTGCTCTTAAAAAAGTTTCATTTACCTGTAGTTTTTGTTCATCTTCCGCACCTTGCAGCCCTGGCAGACGGTGCTCAGCCTCATCCAGCCACTTCATTAGACTGTCATGTTCCTTCTTATACTGGGAGAACACCGGAGCGAGTTCCACCACCTGCCTCCTTTGAAATGGTCTGCACTCCTACAGTTCAGTGCATTAGGAAAATACAGTGTAAGAAGGACAGAGTGAACAGAATAAATCTTATTTATTTGGGAAAAAAAAAAAACAACAAAAAAATACTCAAGGAATCCATTTGAAGAAGCAAATCACAAAATAGCAATAGCAGCCTTATTTTTTAAATAGCTATACTCTATTTATCTGCACAGACATGTAATCAAAGGCAGCCTGAGGGTCCTACCCTGCCTTTGACCTACATACACCTCACTTGACCATCTCTAATATGATTAAAACTAAATGAGCTAAAAGCAGTATAAGAATACAGATGCCCATTGCTCTACACAGAAAAATTTTTGGTATGGCATGTGTATGAAAGCACCACAACATTCTAGAGTCCACAATTGCTGATAATAGCCTGTATAGGAAGTAAGAGAAGTCTTCACACAAACCTCAGCTGAGAACTCAATGAATATATTTGTGTACACATGTCTATGTAATCACTCTTTACACAGCAAGTAAAGCAAATGCCCAACTGTCTGCACCTATCTGTGTAAATAAGTTTAGCGTGGCCCTTTGTGAAGCTGCGAAAAGGACTTTAAAAATCAAAACCACTCCCCTAAAACTTTGGAATGACAAAATTCATACTCTGGAATTGCAAAGATTCAGAGTCACACTGCTTGTACACCCAATTTAGCTCTTTTCCAGAGAATCTAATACACTAAAAAATCATAACCAGGTTGCAAGTGGGATGACAAAGTGACAAATGCATAGAGCTTTAACTATAGTTACTATCGTGCTCATACCTGCAAACTCTTGTACTTTTTCTGCAGAAGCAACAGCTGTATGCGGATCTTCTCTCTCTTATGGTCCTCCATAGGCTGCTGTAACAACTGCCCTCCTCTCTGCAAAACTTCTTCAATCTGAGCTCTTTCTTGATCCAACTAAAATGACACGATTCTGTATTATCTAGAGAAAGCTCAGCTACAGTTTCCAAAATGAATTTATTACCTGCTCAGATACTAACAGCAAAGTACCAAACTATTCTTTATTATCCAAATATGAGTCAAAAAAATCAGGCAAAGATTCTCCACCACAACTACCGAATCCTAAAATCCAACTTGGTTGTTCCATAAACTTCATATAGAGATGCCCCACAAGAAGCTCAGTCAATAAGCCAGCAGTGGGCAGCCACAGCAAGAGGGTGCTATGACTTCAGCTCCATTTTTCTAAACATTCCTTGACAACAACAAGCAAGCTCAGAGCAGAAAAGCAAGAAAGGGAAAACATAATATAAAAACAGCACAAAGGGAAGCATATGTTCTATAACAATAGGTCCTTCCATAGAGACCAGATGCGAACAAAAGTAAAACAATTTTATACTGGTGAATAGCAGAGACTAGTTAAGAATCTAGGAAAAGTCAAAAAAAAGTCCAATTTTGTTCCAGGTTTTTATTTGGACTTGCTATAAGCCATATTACAACATTCTTACTTGTACCTCATCTCACAAGCATCCACTGACCTGACCTATGAACAGTGATTCAATATGACATACCAGTTTAAATTTAAAGGGAACAAAAAAAAAATCTAAATAAATAGTAAGAGTCTTAAGCTGCATTAAGTAATCATTTCAACATAAGTTCAGATAGTTAGATATGAAGAAATAAGGAAGGGGAAAAAAAAGAAAAAAAAAAAAGGTTTGCACCTATTATTTTTACAGAAAGGATTCCTTATAAAAAACAACTTTGAGTAGAAGAGAGAAGATAAATGAAAATCTAAGTTCACTACCTGAATTATAAAAAAAACATGATGAAAATGCACACTGAAGCACGACTAGTTATTCTCAGTGCACCAAGCAAGAGGCAGCAGCTATGGAAGAACTATGGGAAAATTGTGCAGTGTTTCCAACAACCTAGTAATTCCTTTCAGTTTTCTATTCCTGTTTCAAAAACATTTTCTCCGAGGAATTCCCACTCAGTCTAGAGGAATGTAACATGTGGACAAAATAGAAAGGGAGTTAGCTCACAAACCTTTTCATCTTCCCCACTCAATTCCAAATGCTTTTCCACAACTTTTAACATATTCTGTATGTCACTCTCAAATTTTTCCAGGTCTGGAAAAGCTACTCTGACTTCGCGGGGCTCTGATGTGACAGGAAGTCGTTCTTGTCCAACAAGCATCTGCAAAGCAAAATAAAACTTCCTTCAGGCTGGAAATTTTGTCTGAGCTGTCACACAGTTTAATGATTTGAACCAATTCTCCATGAACAGGCATAACAGTTTGTAGGACCAGCAGATATCAGCATTAAGAAGAAATTGTAAGTTTTTATTCTAACACTGAGAGATACTTTGGACATAGTGTTGATAGGTATTACTAAGCTTCCACCTTCAAACTTCCATCTCAGCATTCGAGTCTCAAACAAAAAAACCTCTAATCACATTAGTTTATGGTGGTGTTCACATAAATATGTACCGGAACATACACATTTTCCTGAATCTTTATAACACAGTTATTAGTACATTTTCCCTTGCAACTTAAGTAATCCCCTGTTACACAGATAAAAAAAGCAGCTGGTCTAAAATCAGTCTGTCAATTTTCACATATAAATATCTACACTTAGAAGAGATTTAAAAGCAGTGAAGTGCTGTTCTAACACAAAGATCTATCCCCTAAAGCTATTTGCCATCATTTTGGCATAGACACATCCCCTCCCTCCCCCAGCATGATCTGGGGCTCACTCATCCTCACCTTGGCACTTTTGATGTGCTGAGAGACCTTCTCAAAGTTCCGGTTCAGTTCTGCCAGTTTGGGTTCAACCAGTTCACGGCATGACACCCCCCTACCGTTCATCAGGATAATAGCCTGATCACGCACATTATCCACCCGAAGACTAACATCATCCAATTCAGATGTTAAGCGCTAAGAAGTGAAAGAAAATGCAAATGGTTAGCCTAGGAAAGGTATATATATATATAAAAAAGAGGCAACAAACCTGACTTGATGTCATTTACAACCCACAAGTGGTTACTTGACAGTAGCATTTCCTACCTTCACAGTTTCCTCCTTTTTGCTTGCTGACTTTTTCTCAATTTCATCCAGCAAGGCTTCAGCCTGATACAACCAGGTACTTATGTGGGCAACATTTTCATCAAATATTTCCAGCTGGCTCTGATGATTCTGGAAAAAGATTTAAAAAATACATCAATGTGAGAAACTCTAAAAGATCCACATATCCACAAAAACCCCCAACAACAAACCCTGCCAGAACCACTACTATAAGTAAAAAGGAGATCAATGGAATAAAGTGTTATGCATACACCTTGGAAAGGAACACCAAAAATTAGATTATACCTTTCACCTTCAATAAGTATTTACATGAATTCAATTTTCTTTCTAGATCCTTTGATGATATTGTTCCTAACTCACAAAAAGGGAAACAGAAATAGCTGAGGTGGTTTGTTCAACTAAAGACAGACAACGTACTACAACATTACAGCCAGACCACATCTCAGCTGAGAAAAAAGCCCATCATCTTTTCAATTATCACTAGGAGATACAACATTATGCGTTATGTGCAGTTGCTGTTGCATTGATTTTTTTTTAGTTGAAAGGAGGTTACACCAAAACCTACAAGTTATAACAGTCTAGTTTTGATATGTTACCAATTACACTAAAATATTTCTTCCTCTTAAGAAAAAATCACCACACTGTAGACAAGTTAATTAGGTCTGCTTTCATATGCAGTCAGAAATTATAACTTTAGGTGCCAGAGACAGAAATAACACATTATTCTGTGTGACAAAACAACACTATCAGATTCAGAGAAGTACCATCTTGCTTAAGCAGATCTTCTTACTCCAGAAAGGGTAGCTAAGTTTTGATCTTTTAGAGTAACAAAACTAGGGGAGAGGAGGAAAGAGAGAGCAGCCCTAAGATTGCTCTCTACAAAAAGAAGAAACTTAAATCTTCACCTAGGGAAAGCACAATTTAACCTAAAAAGTCAGCACAAGGACAATACTCATCACTAGGCATGACCATAAGTTAGGAGGTTTTTAGTTGTGGATCATTCTTAGTGCATTTACAAATAAGGGTACACTACCTGACTACTAATGTGGACATCGTTGTGTTATGAAACAGACCTGCAATAAGACTGGATAGGACGCAGAGGGCTCATCATCTAGGTATGCACTAAAGTTTCCACAATTTCAGCCCATATCAGGGGCTTCTGAAGGTGGATTGTCATAACTAGCTGAATGACACAGAAATACTTTATCTATTTGAAAACATCAGTGTGGTACTAGCGCCAGTTGTAGACCGTTTCATGACCATTTAGCAAAACCTGCAGCTTTAGACTGTATAATACACTTAGTCTTCCATTTACTCAGCCAGAGCTGTTAGCCTCAACTCTGACTTGGCATACTCTTAAACACTTGCTGTTATGGGCTGTCTGAAAGAGCAATAGGCTGACAGAGAGTCCCAAGTGCTTTGCTGAGCACCACTAGTGAGTTACCAATTGTCCACTAAACAGCCACCATCTGGGTCTTGAGGAAATCTATCAGCACAAAAACACTGTTCATGCTGGAGCTGGCACAGAGGTTTCTTTCAGGCTGAATAAAGAGCAGCCTCATGGAAACCAATCCTTTGGGGCTAGTTCCTTTTGTTTTCTACTTACATTAATAAATCCATGAGCTATAGAAACTTACATGAAAAGAAGCTGGGCTCTAATTAACCTGTTATGAAACAAACAACACTTCATAAACTGTGGCTTTTTCCCCCATCATTTTAATCTGGCAGAATCAGCCACTACCAGTTAATGAGTAAACCCACTAACAGTTTCATGAATACTTGTATGGCCCACAACCTACTGAGTCTATGTGTGACAGTAGAGGCCCCCTTTCAGGATAATTTAGAAAGTTACCTCTATGCATTTGGGTAGCAAGAACTGTATTAAGAGCTAAATAACAAGTGGACACAAAAGGCTAGCACTATCAGTGTAGTGAAAGAGAACATGATAAAACATTAAACAGGGAAGAGGTACAAGGAGCTAAATCTGTAAGTAAGGACAGAAGATTTAAAATGTAATGTGATACACATAAAAGGCAGGGAGAAAGGAAAGAAAAATTAGAACAGATGTGTGAAAGGTGTTTACTAAGCATATGCTTAGTAATTCCATAGAACAGAAGAATTACACCATGAAGTGTAGGGAGAATAAGAACCCAGAAAACGAGTTCTAGCACTGAAGCCAGGAGAAAGGCAAAAGAGAAATAAAAAAGTTAAACCTAGTTTTATTCTCTACAACTAATGGAGTTATTCCCACCAGGTCAAATTAACTGTCTGCCTGGGATGTTTATTTAGTTTCATCACCCTCACATCCAGATTCTGCATTTTCATCTCCTAGACATTCAGCAATAGCTACTACCACCAAGCACAGAGCACCAATCAGCACATCTAACACACTTGCAAAATAGTTTGCCACCTTCCTCATTGTCTAAAGCCTCGATTCATCTCTCCCACCTAGAGTAACCAGATATCCATTCTATGTTCCTTTATGTCCATGAGGGACCATGGAAGCTTCACATCGTAGCTGAGACAAGTAAGAACTGCAATTGCTCTAAGGGTGTGGAGGGAGAACCACCCTGAATTTCTCTCCCACATGCGACGTACCAACAAGGTGTCACACCAGTCCTCGGTCCAGGTCCGAACTCTGCTCCAGCCAGCATTAAGGACGCACAGCTTCTCCTCCAGAGAAGTCTCACTCCCTTCCACCAGAGCCTGGAGTGCAGTGCAGCTTTCTGTGATGCTTTTCAGATCAGCTTTCCTCCTCTCCAGCTCCCTCAGCACATTCTGAAACAAGAGGAACCATTAACAATGCACACTACTCCAAATCACAAAATCAGAGACAGATTTTTACTTCCATAGGTAACAAACAGTATCATAGATGATCTCCACTGGAGGGGGGGGGGGGGGGGGGGGAAGCGCCCCCGGGGGGGGGGGGGGGGGGTGGTGGTAATCAAACCAAGCAGAATCATCTGCTGTTTATACTCACTCTATGTATTTAGTGATATCTTTTTTTGAGTGATCACACACAAGGCATGTAAGTGTCCTGAATAACTTAGCCTGAGATCTTTTTGTTTTGTTGTTTTACAGTATCTTTTCAGTTCCTTTTCATTATGTAGGTAAAGTAAATGCAGCATATCACAGGTCCAATTTTAAAAGGTTCTTTGCTGCACCGTCAAGCACCATAGAGAACGCAATTTTCAAGAGACACTTCAGTTTTCTCTCTTTTTCCATTAAAGTACTTTTACAGTTGTCAACAATGAGAAAAGTGGTAGGCCAATGTTCTCGTGAACCACCACCACCACCACCACTCATTACTGCAGACGTTCAATTCACTTGCTGCATATTACAGAAGCCCTATTGTTATATACCTATATGAAGATACGTAAATACATGTACCTTTAGCTCTAATATTTTTTCAGTCATCTCTGCTTCTAAATAGTTTTAATTTAAAAAAAAAAAAAACCAAAAAACAAACATTTTCTTTGAAAAAATGTGTAGTGACATACAAATCAACTGTGTCATCTATTAAATATCAGTATGTGATTTCCATGTGGAAAATAGCACCTCTTGCCATAAAAGATCAATAATATTATTACTGATAATATCTGGTTATTTAGAAAGCTCTTTGATGTCAGTGTACAGGGTAGGGAAGAATGTAGTTTATCACAACTAGCATCTGGAGCTTCTTGAACATCTTATTAGCTGTGAAGTAAATAATTTATTATATTATTGCAACTTCTTATGTTCAAAACAGAAACAAATACTCAAGTTACTACATCTTAAAATTGCCTCTAGAAAACCTTAAGGCAGGAAAGAAACTTCACATGCAACATAAAGGGCTCCTGGTGGCACAGCATAAGAGGTCATGAACTATCTCCATTGCATCCAAATGCATAGTAAGTATATTTCCATAAGTATTTGAAAGCTTATTTGGAAAGAAATCTCGGGAATACCACCACAGTAGAAGTATAATGATAATAATTGCTAATTCTGAGTGAAACAGATGAGAACAGGTTACAATTAGATGGTTTCACAATTTGGTAAGCTTTCAAGATTGTACACGGACTTATTCAAAAGTTAAAAAAGTGATAGAAAACTGTAAAGAATAGTATTACTGAACTACATCAACTGACATGTGTCGCTAACTCATACTATGTACACAAGTTTCTATAGTGTGAGAAAATGCATACTTTGCTTCAGGATAATTATAACATATTCACCTGCTTCCATGAACAGTTAAAATAAACAAATGAAAGAAAATAAGGCATTACAGGAGCTTTTTGGTTTGCAGCCATGATTATAAAGACAAAGCAGTTTCAATGAAAAGTTACAAGCTCAATGTTTCATTTAAAATGCCACTGAACTTAGTTTCCTCTACTAGTAAAATATTTGACCCTGCCCAAAATTATATTTGCTTATAGTTATTATACTTATGAACTGTGCTAGATACAGTAAATTGCTTAAATACCTATTAATACCAAACATTCAATAATATCTTTAATATTTCACTGACATGTACGTTTGAGGCAAGATGCCCGAGATGAAGCAGATCAGCCTCAGCATGGTACTGAAAATCATCTATCAGATCTTCTAAAATTTCATTATATAAGAAGTTTAGAACCAAGTTAGAGGGATTTAAATTAACAGCCACATCTAAATAGTATTGACATAATGTTAAGAATTTATTCTATACACATTTAGAGTGTGCTTACTTTGGCCCAGGCAATTTCTGAATCCAGGTCAGAAAGCAAGCTCTCTGAAGTGGACTTCTGCACCAGCTCAGCCTCAGTGGCAGCTAGCCACTCTGACAAAGAAGCAGCCTCTTTCTTCATTTTGCGTGCCAGCTGGGATGCTCTTTCAAGGTCTTGTTTTCCTTCTGTCACCTGCAAATAAAATAAAAAATTAAAAAAAAAAAAAAGAGAGAGAAAAAAAAGAAGAAAATGAAACGATTTTAAAAGATAACAGAAACCAAAAGTGCTAGCCAGCTGAAATATCCACCCAAATATATAAAATCCTTCCATTATAAGACTATCTCGCATTAGGGAAGGACCCTGAAAAGAAAAATCATTTATAAACATCTGCATGTTTCTATACAAAGCATAATATATAAAACAAGAATAATTCTAAATTAAGATAGACTAAAGGAGACAAAGTAACCCACATACCAACTTATTTATAGCTAGTAATAACCAAATTGATGTTTAAACTTTGTTTATTATTATTGTTTAACTGAAATTCAAGGGGAAATAGAATCCAGTCAGTCACACAGGTAAAATTCAGTTCTTTTATTTATTTTGATAGACCTGCTAGGAGAAAGCTGCAAAGAAAATTTCACTGAAAATCTAGTCTGCCCATGAAGACATCTCAGTAAAGTGAATATGAAATTTGGTGCTTGCTGCAGTATAATCAATTCAATTTCATACTGGCTACACAATTAGTCTGGTCAAACTAACACAGACTTGAGAATAAATCCAACCATAGCAGTCAGAATCAATTGACATTTCGAAAAAATGCCCTCTATCTCAGCTCACAAACCAAATCATAACATTAGTTTGCAAACAACTCTGCCCCTCAATCCTTTCCCAATTTCTTGTCTACATGCTTTCTGCATTATAAATGTACAGGTTCCACCAGACGACACACCTTCGTGAGCATTCTCCACTTTACAACAATAGAATTTCCTAGGGCCCATTTCAAGATTTTCCGACAGTGTGATCTGGCCACTTGCCTGCAGCTTAATTCACAGAGCACTGAAGAGGCACAATTCTGCTTGGATTTCTGCCTTAGTTTAGGTAGGAAAAGAATCTCAGATTTCCCCCTCCCCCCCATCCCTTAAGGGTTTAAGCATTTTTTAAACACTTTGATAAACTACAAAATTACTAAGAAAATTGTTCAAATCATATTTAATGCAGTTCATGTGAAATACATGTTTGCCTTCATTTTCTATTTTCATACCAACGGCAACCAGAATCACAAAATGGTTGGGGTTGGAAGGGACCTCTGGAGATCATCTAGGCCACCCCCACTGACCAAATCAGATTCACCTACAGCAGGTTGCACAGGATCCTGTACAGGTGGGTATTGAGTACCTGCAGAGAAGTACAATTCACAGCCTCTCTGGGCAACCCTTTCTACAATTAGAAATCATCATGACACCTCCTAAAAAAATTTACATCAACTATTTACATCTACTCAAACTTCTCATATGACAATCTGATAGCAAATTATTTTGCAGGCTATTTTACAGAGAAGGTACAACAGTGCTCAAAGACTTCAATGACTAGCAGACCAGCTTTGCTAGAATGATGAAAGACCTGTGAACCTTTCTTTCTTTGAGGCTACCTTCCCTTCAGGAACACACTGTGAGCACAGGGGTCTTGCACAACTGAAGGACTGTTATGCATGATCTTTGATCTCTCAACTGATTGGTCTTGATTATAGCAACTAGCCTATACAGAATCAGCTTCATAATCAAACTTATAAATGGCATCTGAGATCAAAACAACAAAGAAGGGAATTTATATGCAGACAAATGTTCATACATAATTTGGTTTTCTTACCTGTGCCCCCAAATCATTATAAAGAAATTTCAATGCTGTCAGCTGTTCATCCATCCCTTTGGGATTATCTGTCTGTTGTTTCTGTACAATTTGCCTTCCTGTCTTGATGACAGTTTCAACCTCCAGCTTCACCTCACTGAGGGTTTTATAGAGTTTCTAAAAACACAAATATGTATGTTAGTGATCAATTTGTAGTGCAGATTTTCTGACTTCGCTTCATTTGGGGACCTGACCCTGGCTGCACTTAAACTCCGAGCTATGGATTAAGAACAACATCTGCTCAGATTTCAAACTGTCGATATTTTATTCTAGTTTTAAGTTTCACCACCCAAGAAAGAGAATTATTCCAATAATTTAGCACTCCGTAAGATCACCACATGTGGTAAGGCTAACGCTGTGATCGTTACTTGATATTATGCGTAGTACTTGCTTTGTTTGAATATTGAACAAAAGCAAACTTGCCCGAGAAATGATACTTCTCCAGAACACAAGAATGAACTAGGGAAGGGAGTTTATAGAAACTCAGCTATCCCATCGTATCTGTGATCAACAATCCACTCCTCCTATGTCCACATTCTCACACAGCAGAATTAGGGGGTTTTAATTACCAATAGTTTTGTTGGTGTTTTGCAAAGAATTCTAACAGTTCTATCAGCACACTAAGCAAAATTTCCTCAGGAGAGAGTTTCAGCGAGAAGAATCTCACAAGAAAAAAAAACCAAACCCTCCCAAGCAGAAGTTAAGAACACTGCATACTTACCATGCACCTGTCTAGATGTGCCTGGATTACATCTGGGTCAGTATCCTTCACATCCAATACATGAAGTTCTGCTTTTACACCATCCAACACCCGCTTGCAATCCAACATGCGCTGCTCAAAATTGGCTGGTTTCTGGAAAAGCTGATACTTTGTAGATACTTCTCGGAGTTTTCTCTGTTTTAAGGAATATTATGTTAGCAGAATGTCTTAAATTAACATTGCATTTCAAAAAATAACATTTAAAGCATCTCCCCCCACAGTTCTAACTCACCTCTCACGCCACCACAAGTCAGTATACAGGCAACGCTATTTGCCAAGCCAAATTCTATCACCTATTCCTAATCTGCACGTGAGGTGCAAGAGAGCTATAATTCTGCATCATACACTTTGAAAATATCCATTCTACTAAAATACATAGACTTTCTGACTTCCAGCTGTAATCCCATGATACATATGAAATTTAAACTTCCTTATTCAATTCATGCAGTACTGCTTGTTTCCTAATGAAAGCATATACTATTTACTTCTGAGGCTCGGTTGACTGCACCAAGCAATTTACAAACTGACAACAGCAGTGCATAATTGAAAACCAGAAGCTCTTCACATTTAAGTTCTTAGTGTGACTCCCACTTTTACCTGCAAAGCATCCAGCTGAGTTCCACCACGGGGAGACCTGCATTCAGGAGAAGCAGGAGGGAAAGTGCGAGCACTTTTCTTGAGCTCCTCTAAGGTGGATTCATGAGCTGCAATCTCAGCTTGAATTTTCTGCCACATCATAGAAACAGGAAAAAAAATGTCACAAACTGCTTGTAGAGAAGGGAAGAGGAACTTGTCTACCACCTATCATCCACCAGAAGTAAATCCATTCTACAAAATTTAAACACTACGAGATTTTAAATGTTCTGGGTTTGGTGACAGCTTGCTAAACCGAAAACTGTTAAGACTGTTATTCAATACAACCTTCTTAAAACAGGAAACAAATCCAGATTACAAAAGATATCACCTAGCGCATCAGCACAGGACTGAAATGAAGCCTTCATGAATTACAAAGTCTAGGCTGAGCACTATCATGAGATATTTCAGAATGTTTTGTAGTGAAAAGCTATACTGGAATGAATACCTGAGCCTCCTGGGGCATCTGAAAAGCATCTACCCTGTCAGTCAGGTAAGATGTCAACTGTCTATCCAGCTCTGCTAAGTTTTCCTGCAGGACCTGCAATATGTGGTCGGTTTCTCTCATGGTCTGAAGCTGCTGTTCCAAGGCAATCTGCCGGCTCACCGCCTGAGTGGGACAGAAAGGTAAGACAAGATGAAGCAATAATTCAATAGGAATTACACTAAACTTTCTCCAGCCAAGGTGGGGGAGACCCAAAAAATCATATGCCAGGAGGACTGTCTAAAAAAAAAAAAAAAAAAAAAGAAAAATGCAAAAGTAAGCCCTAGAAGGCAACAATTTTTGAAGCCTGCTGTGATTCATACTAGTAACTGAAAGATAGTGGCATAGAAGTAGAGTTCTGCTGCTAGATATACAGGATAGTGAAGTACAGGAAGGGGACAACATAATAGATGGGGAATGAGAAGAATGTTTTCCTTCTGTTCCTTATTTCAGTGCAACTTCTTCCTAGCTATTTTAAAGAGTGAAAATATCACTTATGTTCCTTATTTTTACAGTTAGTGAGCAGCTCATCAGTATTTATGGCAGTAGGAAGGGAATATTACCCTCAGTTATTGCACTGTCCCCCCCTTCAGATTGGAATTTCCTTTTTGTCAAAATTACCTGGAAAAATACCAGGGGTTCCCCACAGTGCAAGGGTGTGCAAGTGTGCAAAACAAAACCTGACTCAAGTCGGGGAGAGAGAGACTGAAGAAAGCATCTTGCTATTAGGGCATTATTTCAAATTGAAAACAGCTGACAACACTGAAGGTTTTTCCTCTTTTCCTGTATTGCAGTCCTGCATCTATGAATTCAGCTAACTAATAGAAATCATTTCAGACCACTGAGCTGAAAAACCCAGACTACTTCAAACCCTGCCCCCAGATTCTTACCAAGTGACTCAATTCCTCATAGCGGGCATTGAAAGCCTCCAATTTTTCACTGATGATATCATCAAGAATCCCTCCATCAATCAGTGTCTGCCCAAGTTCCCGAATCTGGGTTCGATTATCAGCTGGATGACGCAGGACCGATTCCAGGGACTAATTAGCAGAAAAAATTTTAAAGGTCAAGACACTGAGTATTGCTGCATTTTCAGAAGTGGAAATCTGGCTGCATGCACTGAAGTTTTACACTTCAAATGTCTTGAGAGTTCTCTAAAAGCATGAATTAGTTATGGCTTAATCCACGATGGTACAAGGCAAATACAGTGGACATTTTCCTTTAAATAATTAAACTTCACAGCACTTCTCACCTATTCACATCATTTTATATTATAGTGATGGAAGGAATTAATCAATTTAAACAGCACAGGAGAGAACATACAGTTTTATCATGATACTAAGTATGGCAGAATCATGAGCAGCAAAATTCAGCTTTTTTTTTTTTTTTGGTAGAGGATCTTATAAATACTCATTCCATATTCAGAGTAGTATGTTCATTTAACTTGAAGAATTAGAATATTCAACACATAGAATGAACTAGGTTGGAAAAGACCTTCAAGGTCATCAAGTCCCAGGACTGCCAAGCCCACTTCTAACCATGTCACTAAGGGCATCATCTACACAGTCTCTGAACACTTCCATGGATGGTGATTCCACCCCTTTCCACATATTTCAGTCTATTGAAGTGTAGAACTAGATGTGTTGGGGAGGGTGGCACTGATCCATCCCAACACTCCCAGTCAGTTGCCAGCACCTGTAATACGTACTTGGAGTGATGTAGAGATATTAATAAGTGTTTGGAGTGATGTAGAGATATTTCAGCTGCTCCAGCCATTGAGTTGGCTTCATTTGGAGCTTGGCTCAGATGCCTCTGTACAAACACCCATACTATGAGAAAGAAATGAGGAATTAGAGATGTGTGCAAGGCTA